TCTGTTTATGTCGTTAAATCATAAAAGGGAATGCATGAAAAACATCGGCGTTTAAAACTCGTCAGCACACTTGCCAGACACATGACGGCGTCTTGTACACGGCGAAGGTTGCAGGATAAACAATTCTGACCTCGCAGACGTCCCAAGCTTGGTCATAAATATTGGCCGCAAACGAAGAGCGCAGGGATCTATGAAACATACATTTCCAGGATGTGTTGGGGTGCATCCTGGTCTATCATGAGCTGAGTGTTATTACACGTGATATCCCCCACGTTCAGAAGGGCATGGCTCATTGAACACGTCTGGCTAGAGGGTGTAAACTTTAATTTCTCCACCGCGCCAACCCGCGGGGCAGGGCTAAGTGCTCATGAAAACAGCAGTTACATGAGACGGGCTTTCCCTTAAAAACAAGGGACTCATAACGAGCGTCGGTACTGCACTCATAGCCTTGTGAGCTGCATTAACCTATGTAAACACACTCCAGGCGCTTGCGGTGTTCAGAACATGACACGGTGAGCAACGAGATCTGTTGTGGGGGACGGCATAGCTTGTCTGGAAGGCCTGCCGCGGGGGACACATGGCTTGTCTGCAAGACCTGCTGCGGGTGACACATGACTTGTCTGCAAGACCTGCTGCGGGGGACAGCATGACTTGTCTGGAAGACCTGCCGCGGGGGACAGCATGGCCTGTCTGGGATGACTATGGGTCAGCTCCAGCCGTAGCTGAAACGGTTGGGAGGCCATGCATACATCATACCTCCGTCCGCAACCGCTGTCATTTCCTGTGCGCTCTAAATAGTACCGCCGTTTCTCACTCCTCATTTGGCTTCATTTGTCATTCCAGCTGGGCTATAATTACTGTCATTTTCATTACATTTCTTACCATTGGTCAATTCCTGCAATCGCCCGTCACCAACGTTTCTCTGCGCTCCTCTCTGAGTTTCTCTGCGCTCGTCTCTGAGTTTTTCTGCGCTAGTCTCTGAGTTTTTCTGCGCTCGTCTCTAGTTTCTCTGCGCTTGTCTTTAAGTTTCTTTGCGCTCGCCTCTAAGTTTCTCTGCTCTCGTCTCCGAGTTTCTCTGCGCTCGTCTCCGAGTTTCTCTGTGCTCGTCGCCGAGTTTTTCTGCGCTCGTCTCTGAGTTTCTCTACGCCATCTCTGATTCTTACTGTTCCCCCCGCGATCTCATCCAACTACGAGCCAGCTCCATCGATGCAAGTAAACGACAGCATGTATGTCAACAGCAATAGCCGACAGAGAACAGCATCCAATGACATCCACACGAGGGTTGGACGCTTTTGTTTCTACATGGTCGCTCCTAGCCACAGCCGTTTTCCTGAACGCATACAATATGCGGGAGTGTAGGCTAAAGCTGTAGTAGCACTGCCGGAGTGGGAATCTTATATTGCCAAATCGTTTTAATCTTGCCAATTTCCCCCAAACTTGGAGTTGTTACTGCCAGATTTATCGAAACGCATTCTGCGCCGCCCGTGATTATCTCCCACACCCAACGCTCATCTCGGAACACCACCGTCTTCCAGTGCGCGCACATCCCCGGCCCATGTCGTTTTCCAGTGCTTCTTTTACACCGATTCCGTTTCAGGAGTCATTTCTGACCACAACAGTCTCCCGTTGCCATTTCTGACCGTTGCTGTCTTCCTTTGCTCACCTGTGACTAGCATGGGAAGTTCAACCATTTAATAGCCCGGGAGACCGATCTTTTTCATGCTATTGCACACACGCGATGGGGCCACTGGCTGTTGCTTCTCCGTTCGCTGGGCAACGACCAGCCTGCATCGGGTCAGATGGCGGTCAACCCGGCATCTGTGCGATTCGGGCAAGGCGAATTGAACGGGCAAGTCAGGATGTGAAAATTCGGGGCCAGAGGGCAACGTATTAACAGTAAGGGAGGCACAGCACGATGGAAGCGCATGCCGCTGAGGAGACAGAGGTCTGACACCATGAATTAATATTGGTCTCAGTGGCGCCCAACTGGACGAATTTAGCCACGCTGTCCCTGATTCCCGTCATCGCCCAGGCCTTATCACGACCTTCGGCCACTTCACAGCGCTTAATCTCCGACCAGCGCCGCATCACAGAGCTCATCCCCGTCCGACGCTCTCCGCCGAGCCGCTCTCTGACCGCCGGCGCGCCAGGACTACCGTTCCTAGGCTAACGACTTCGTTACATCTGACTGCCGCCGGTGCCCGGCGCCCATCTCGGGCCGCCGCCGACTCGCGGCCCTCGTCGGCTAACTGGGGCCGCTCCCGGCGCGTTGCACGCGGCCCGGGGCGTCGGCCGCAGCGGCCTTGATGGTTATTACGCGCGGCGGTCGGCCGGCCGGCCGGCAGAACGCCGCGGGCGCCGCCGCCGGCCGCCGCCCGCCACTCATGGTGCGTCGTTATCCCAACCCGTACACGGCCGGCCCGGTCAACGGAGCCGGCGGCGACGGCGGCGTGCACGGCCGGCCGACAGCGGGGTGGGGCCGGCCGCTGGCCGAGCACTGCGAGAACTGGCAGTGGTCGAGCTGCGTGGAGTGTTGATAGGAGCGAGAGCGTGATGTGGGGCTGGGGTGGGTCACGGGCTGCCCAGCTTGAGAGACAGCGTGTAAGAGAGGTCAACGGGTTTGTAATGCACGGAAAATAAGGGTGTTCCCTTTCTGCAGTAAACGTTACCACTTCTCTGCCCGGCGGTCGCGTCGACTGGGATATCAAAAGACACCCGGATCCCATTTCAAACACCAGAATGTCTGTTAAACATTTGACTGATTGCTAGGTCTAATTTCAGTAAATTCAGATCACCTTATTTCCATGGATGACACGTACAAGCGATAAATGACACAGATCAGCAGCCGGTCCAGGCAAAAACCTGGCCAGCCCTAATTGGGCGCTGGTTTAACACACCTCATTACTGGGGTCGCCAGACCACACGACGACCGCCGATGACAGCTGATATGTGTCGGTCACGGACCGGCACTCGGCAGGTGCCTAGGGCGATGATGGTCGGGTTCGGGGCGGGTAGGTTCGGTGTTCCGTTTTGCTGATTGACAACGCTCGTTTCGGTGATCATTGTGTTACGCTCCACTCTACATATGCTTAGGTGCGCTTGTTAGTCGGGTGTGTTTCTGCAGCCGGTTTTTGGTCGTTTTTATGTGTTCCTCGCTGTAGCGGAATGCGGCCAAAGACTCATTCAGAACTAATGTTGCACCGGTAATTGATTTAGTGCCCCACTGAAAACGGATTTGTGTGCTATTGGCGGTAGCCTTCGTGCCCCAGTGGTCGTCACTTGTGTTCCACCGCCAATGCAATTATCCACAGCGTTATATCCCTCTGATGCTCAGCTCACGCCCCACCGCTGCATCACCCCGGTAGCTGGGTCTGAACCCCGCTGCCCGTTCCACAGGCTGGCCGGACGCCGGGGCTGGCGGCACCAGTCAAAGCAGGGCAGCGTCGGTACCAGTAGCCGGCGCCGTGACCTTCACGGTCGAGCGACACCAGTGTGGAGGTGCGCGCCGGGATCGCGAGCCAGCCGGGGGACACTGTCAGCGGGGCGGCGGCCGAGGGGGTGGAGGTGGCTCTGATCCCAGGCCGGCACCGACGGGTCGTTTTCGGATGACCTGAGATGGTGGATCTGCGGTGAAGTTGGGTTGATGGCTATGGTTTGGAGGTGCTTCGAGTGGCGGGTTATTTTTGCCCCCTCCCTTCTCACTTTCGCCCCATCGTGCCTTTGGTCATCGGCATGAGGTGATGAGATCATGTCAGATGGGTCATGACGCCTGCGAACAAGTGTCACCGCCCGTCCAATGTGACCTCAATGTGTTATCTTGAAATCGGAAATATTCTTGCGGTCTCAGCACGTTGTCTCAGTTGACAACCCTAATCTACATCAAAAGAACAAACCTACGTGTTATTTGAACATCCGTCTTTGACGAGGGAAACGCTACATGCTCTGTCAGGGTCAGATCACTTCGTATTAACTAACGTTGATGTTGTGAATGAATCAAGGCCGTTCTGGTGTGTACCGGTTACATCAGTTCTGGCTCATTTGAGATTGTATGCTCACGCGCTCTGTGTAGCTTTCGACGCAGCATAATAACACAAGCAATCCGTTTCGGTCTCTACCTATATAATCAAAGAGGCCTCTTGACGTTTTTGTGCAGTTTCTTACACCGGCAATGACCGTGCATTGATGACAATATTCGTGTGGTAAAGACCGGCCGTCGGTCCCCAAGCAGCGTCCCATGCTGATGCTGTATGCCTGGCACAGTGAGCGAACCTCTAACAAATGCCGAACAAAATGCCAGACTCCGTTCTATTTTTGTTACGTGGCTATTTCGCATTATGGATTATCGGTCCTGCTCTACCCTCAGGCACATGAGGGTTCATTTTTATATCCACCATTGAGTGCAACCGGCCCCACGATTAACTTTCAGCGATCAAAGTCAGAATGACTGGAGGAAACATCGCTGGCTTGCTTAAGCTGCCATTTGGCAATATCTTTCGGAGGCACAAGGAGGCATCTTTCTTCTGCAGTGTCTTTCGGCGGCACCACGGCGTATCTTTCTTTCAACGGCATATTTCAGCGGCACGATGGTGCATCTTTCTTTCAGCGGTGTCCTTCAGCGGCAGTACAGCAGAGGCGAAGCATACCACCGGCCGGCGTTTCGATGAGTGGTTGGCGTGATGCGGTGATAGTTGGCGTGATGCGGTGATAGTTGGCGTGATGCGGTGATAGTTGGCGTGATGCGGTGATAGTTGGCGTGATGCGGTGATAGTTGGCGTGATGCGGTGATAGTTGGCGTGATGCGGTGATAGTTCATGTTTACGGGCCAGGGCGTCACTGACCACCAAATCATGTCATTTGTCAAACCGCGTGTTTTGGTACCCTATGAAGGCCACACAGACGGCGTGACCCCGAATGCCGTCTGGGTACGCCCGTACCCACACGGCACCAGCAGTCCCGGCCGACGCGGCATCATACCCGCCGCCGGCCGGTGAGCCACTGACCTGAAGCTGCTGGTCCGCTCCTGAGGCTGGTCCCAGTGGTGCTGACCCTGCTCCAGCTGGCTCGACAGCTGGACGACCTCCTTCGGCGGATGGGCATCCTCCGAGCCGGGGGGAATGTCCGCCGTTCTGCAGCCCTCGACATCGGTCTGCAGGTCCTGCAGCGGGATGAGGACCGTGAGGGCCGATGAAGAAGCACTGTTCAGATGCTGTTCGGGACGAGCATGTAAGGTGCGCGGGCCTGCAATACGCTGGCCGCATACGGCACATAAGAGACGCGCGCGTCGATAGTGATAAATTGGTACTAGAACGCGGGGATGAAACCGGACAGAAGAAAAAGACCGTAACTCACGAAAACGCCCTCTGCCGGCAGCCATGTCCTGCCAACCTGGCTTACCACCGATCTAAGAAAAAAATATTACCCTCGGTGCTTTTCAGGTGGCCGTCACCGAACGAAGAGTCAAGTGAATCTTCCACACAGCGCCCTGGCAATGGCACACTGCGTGCACCGCACAGCGTCTGCCAGTTTGGTAGCGATGCCCCGTTCGGGGCCTCAGCACGACCGTCGCAAGTGCCTGCCACCGGATCCTGACACCGACAATCTGTGTACCCGACCCCGCGATGTCCGCCACGGTTCCGACCGAGCCGTAAACATTAGGTCACTGTCGCATTCCTGTGTAGGCGGACGGCCACGAGGCCAGCTCATCTAGGCACCTATAAACAGGCATGTTGGGCGCAGCACTCGTCGCCATAGATGATGATGTTATTTTTTTTCATTTATTGATACAAAGTCCGCAGCTTTGAGGGGTTAAAAATAATCTTGATATTTATACTCCGAAGTTCGAAATAGCTATGGATAACCGAAACTGCCCTATAACCGAAGTGACCTCTCCTCAAACAGAAGCAATCAAGCCACACGTTAACTTCCACCATATGTGACCTAACTACGTCAGGGTGAGTCATCGTAGGATACAATAAGTTACGACAGGATATGATGTAAAAACCATGCCGGGGGTGGAGGACATGTACGGAAACGGAAATGTGATGTATGCTATTGACTATCATTCTTGCTTTTGCACCAGCCAGCAAGCGACCTCGCACCAAACCCGTTTGTTTGCTGCGATCGCGTTACTCTTCGAGCAGCATCACAGCCGCTGTTGTGGGTATCCAAGAACACGTCACTTGGACGGCCAGGGTCTGTTTTGTCGTAATGTCGTCAACTGGTTCCGCGTTGGCGTAAGCGCAACCACGGTCTCGGAAGCGCAAATCGTCCAGGATGCCTTGGAAAAAAGCGCATAGCCAGTCATTCCAGGGTGTTTATTCTAGGCTGCCCTTGACAACCGAAATGATGGGTAGCCAACGGTGACAGACGAAATGGCCAGAGTGCTGGCTGAAGCTCTCGTGGCCCGGCTCCCACTCACGCGGAGTATATACAGCCGGGATAAGACAAGACCGAATTTATCATGGTGAGAACGTATCGCGTCGATAACGTCAGCAAACACCCATCGGTTGATGCGGCGGTGAGAGTATTCAGAGCAAATGGCGTCTGCGCGTGCAGCGATGGGTCACGCACGCTAGTTAGGCTTGGCTGGGAGACTGTCACCATCGGTGCACGTCACCCAGTAACGTGTTCAAGCGGGGAGATGCGAACGGGGCACGGGCCCCCACTTCTTATCAAACTTGCACATGCATTATACGCGTCTGAACTGACGTCGACAGTTACAAATCAAGGTACATGTGGTGTTTTCAATCTACCCACCAGCAGACTGGAAACATCGGATGTCGTTAAACATCCCGCTTCACCCGCCTGCGGGGCGCTAAAATCAGTTTTTGGTGAGGGGATAGGCGTTGCACCCCGCCCAATGCAAAAACCTGCATACGTCCCTGACGTCACCGCTAAGGTCAACAGCGTCACAGCGCGTTACTCCAGTTGGCACGTGTGGAGCTCGTGCGTGCATTCGGTCGTGATCGCACCGGGCCCAACGTGACGTCATCCATCCGTCAGCTGCACTCAGACGAGCGCTGCATCGCATCCAACGAGTCTCGTGCAAAAGCCGACCAGGCGCCGGCGGCTTCAAAGAAACGGACTGGGGAAACACGAATGCTGACAGACGCGGTGCCACGCCGCCGCCGGCAGCCGCCTCTCGCGGGCGCCCGCGCCGGGTGCGGCGGCTGCCGAGGTGCACGAATTCCGCGGTCACGTACAGGGCGCTAATTTTGTACGGCCCGGGCGCGCATCGACGCCCGCTGCCAGCCCGCGCCGGGCCCGCGGTGGCGGCGACGGCGGCGGGGCCAAGCGGCGGGACCGAGGCGGCGGGACCTCCCGGGTCCCGACCGCCAGATGTGAGGTGACACACGGCCGCAGCCGCGGCGAGATCGCCGCACAACGCCGCACGCCGCGCCACAATTGGATCGGCGCGGGGGGCTAGTTTTCTGCAGGTTGTCAATTTGAGCCAGTTGTCATAACGCTGGCGAGCTGTTTGCAATGCATCGCGCGACGCCTTGCGCGGGTTTAAATTCGAGCGTGCAAATTTATATCGGATGTCATCTGCATATTCGCTGGAATGCCGGCCACAAAGAGCGAGCAAAGGTCACGACACTGAGGTCATTGTTCTTTCGGGCGACACAGGCTTGTGGAAACGGAAACAAGTCATACTGGCGGCGCGTGACGAATGTGCATATTTAGCACTGATCTACAGACGTTCTCATATGCGCCCTGCCCCTAATACGAGGGCTGACAGCAAATATGACCTTAACATCGAAAGCACGCACGGTCTAAGCTCGATCAGAAACAGGCTGGTGCTGTGACAAAAAAAAAAACGCAAGCCCGCCCGTGTAGCACATGGTGCAGTACCCCAACGACCGGCTAATTACTTGATGCCCATTTAACTTTGAGCTTGGATGTTCACAACCTTTCCACTCACTTCTTAAGCGCGAACTACGCAGGATGCATTTAAGTGCACCCGTTTGCTGAGAGCGCACTTCTGCTTCTGACTCTGGATCTAATCCTGTCCGGAACGACCGGGGTAAAGTCACGGTTTCCGTTATTCGCCTTTCCGCTATTCACAGTTCCGGTTTATGTTGTTGCGTTCCATGAAGCCATGTGAGCTCAGGCATGCCGCCTGCGCCGCCCAGCCGCGCTATTATTTACACTGTACGCTCAGATAACCACGAAGCCGCATTGTATCACGCTTCCCCGTGTGCGCCCATCCTTACGTGCATCTGAAACCGATCTAGACAACCTCCGCATACGCTCCGCTCCTTGAATGTCATTACCCGATTCAGCGCTCTTACGGATCACGAGCGAGCGACTCACGGAAACACGAGCGGCGGTGTTGGCAGCCGCCGCCGGTGACCACCGACCGGGACAGGTCACCACCGGTGACCGCTGGCCGAGACAGGTCACCGCCGGTGACCGCTGATTGAGACAGGTCACCGCCGGTGACCACCGACCTGGACAGGTCACCGCCGGTGACCGATGGTCGGAATACGTCACCGGTGACTCAGCCAGGCCAACAAGGTCCAGGACCGCGGCGGCAGCGGAGGCGGCGGCGCGGCCCCAGCGCCCGCTGAGATGTTGCAGACGGTCCGGCCGCCGGGGCCGGGGCCGGGGCCGACGTCCCCGGCCGAAGCAGACGGCGTCCCCGGCCAATGCAATGCGGTGACGGAACCGCCCGACTGGCGGCCGGCCGGCGTGGCGGCCGGGGGGGGGGGAGGGGGTCGGTACGGTGGGGGAGCGCCCCGCGACGGGCGTGGGGCGATGGCGGAGGGGTGTTCACCGCTAGCGGTTACAGGTCAAGGGTAACCACTGACGATTACAGGTCACTGGTACCGCTGACCGAAACAGGTCACCGCCGACCAAGAGGGGTTACAAGAGACCAGGGAAGGCCATCGCTGAGTAAGCGGCTGATCAGACCACTGATCAAGGCAGGTCGCCGCCGGTCGTCACATGCCACTGGAGATCCGTGGCGCGTCGTTTGAATGGAGATATGCATAGCGCGCCAAACGCCAACGGTCCAGAATCGGTCAGACGAGCAAGAAGCTGGCCAAGACGAATCCAAATATGATCCCGCGCGGATTATCAACGACCCGCGTGATCCAGATGACTAGAGCACTTCATAAGCAGAAACGAACCATACGCCCGGTGATATTTCCATCATCTATCAACAAGTAAAACTCTGAATCCCGCGGCGTCAGGTGAAGCCAATGAGGAAGAGTACGACAAACTCATCTTAGCCAACAGACGGCTGCTTGTCATGGCTGAGCGCAGCTTGAGAACCTATCACCCATCGCCACAAGTCTACCATCTTTCATCCCAACAATATATCAGTCTCTCAGTGAGCCTGCTAATTAATCACCAGTTGTTAAAGCGTCGCAAATGAGAGGAGGCGTTATGCCGACGCCTCCATCGCACCCCTTCTCGCCACGGACCATGCGCTGGCCCACTTCTGGTCTGGCGCCTGCTGCCGCTGCTCTGGCTCACACCCTGTCGCCATTGCTTGATTATCGTCGCGGCAGTGTCACTTTGGGGAGCGGCCAGCCGCCTCCCCCTCCCCCACCCTACTGACGGCCGGGCCGTGTATAAACAAACAGTGCACTGCCGCCGCCGCCGCCGCCGCCGCCACCTCGCCGGAGCATTGTCCCAACCTTCGCGAGGCCCGCAGACGAGGTCGCCCTCGCAGTCACAGACTGGGAAGGCGGCTGCCAGACGGACCAAATCTCACTGACGGCAACGGAAACCAGCCCAACGCACCGAAGAACCGCCACCGCAGCGTGTGAGGTCGCGAAAGCCACCTCACGTCCCCGGCACGCTCGCGCACCTCGGCACCGGCCGGCACCCTCGCCTTTCTGCTCGCCTCGCCGCGCCCTGGAAGCACGCAGCCGGGCGCAGCGGGCCGGGCGGCGGGGTTCCCGGTGGCAGGTGCGGAGCGGCGCCGCGCGGCGCACCTGATACAACCCCGGCGCAGACGACTGCGGGCGCTTCCGGTGACCGGGGCGAACCGGATGAGGGCCGGGACTCGGTGCACCGACCGGCCTGCGGTTCGTGTCGCGGTTGCCAGAGTCACAGTCATGAGTCGTTGCGGCTGTGACTCCGCAAAAGAGGCGTGCGGAGCAACCGCGGGAATGATACAGCTGACGAGTTGTGCATGCTTGCTCG